GTTTCCATAAATTTTTGGTTTTCTTCATTCTTCTTTGCTCTGGACGAGGAGAGACCCATCGTTGCATCTAGATGGCAGCTTGCAAGCTTTTAAGATCCCAGTCACTACTCGCCACAGTAGGAGGTGGAACAATGTTTTGTGTAGTATGTTATGCCAAGTGAGCTTGATGTCCTCTTAGACTATGGTCCCGAGCCCACAGGTTCAACTACTCGGTCCCTCTGGGTCGCTGGCTGTAACCATGCAGTGACTACAACCTTGCCCTTTGTCAGCTCCACTATACACCTGGGAATTCAGATCATACACATAAAGTTATAGGATCATTGTCTGTCAACGGCTAATTTTTAGGAAGTTGGTTGCCAAGCCTTTCTTCCGAGGCACCTCTGGGAAGACTTACACCACCCACCCGTCGGTCAGTTGGCAGTCACGTGTGTTAACTGCAGTGTGTTTCAAATAGTTCATGCTTTTTAATTTTGGTGATTCTAATTATGCAATTGTTTTCTCTTTTCATAGATTGTTCTTTGGGTGTGTATTTGTTTTTATAGAAGTTTTATAATTTTAGCTCTTATAATTAAGTACACATCTAACACACACATAAACATGTATACACGCTTACAACTGTACACACCTTGTTTTTAACACAAATGGTATATCTAGTCCATGCCCTTATTAATTCTATAATTTGTTTGCTTGCTTTCTCTCACAAATATTTTCAAAAGCAGTGCTATTGGTATTTTGAGTGGGACAATTCTTCATCCTGTTTACCAATCCCCTGAAAGAGTTTCACTTCCTCAACGCTTATTATGACTCCAGAGCTAGTCGTTCTTTCAGTTATTTTGAAAATCCTCAACATCCCACTCTGACTGCATAGTCCACAAGGTGTGAATGCAGAATGTTCTAAGTTTCCTTTAGGTAAATTCAGTTATCTCGTCAATGAGTAAGGTAGATTTCCCCTCTCTACCACCCAGGCAGAACTACATGAAAAGGACTTTGTCTTGCTCACCACTGTACTATTAGCTCCACAGTAAAAACTGACTTGCACACTAGAATAAAAAATGACTTGCACCCAGCAGAAACACAATAAATATTTGTTAACTGAAAGAATATTTTTCTTTGTCATTAAAATTTCTTTTGATACCATCATCAGGGTAGCTCTGAAGACTAAGGTGTGCCTGACGCAAGCCATGATATTTTCAATCACGTCATGTGCAAGAAAAAGCTGGACAATGAATAAGGAAGACTGAGTTGAAGAAGATTGATGCCTCCAAATCACGGCGTTTGCAAAGAATACTGAATGTATTGCGGACTGCCAGAAGAATGAACAAATCTGTCTTGGAAGAAGTACAGCCAGAATGTTCCTTAGAAGGAAGGATGGTGAGACTCCATCTCATGAACTTTGGAAACGTTATCAGGAGGGACCAGTGGTTGGACATCATGACTGGTAAAGCAGCAGGTCAAGGAAAAACAGAAAGGCCCTCAGTGAGACAGACTGACACGGTGGCTGCAACAATGGCCAAGCATGGCCACCACAGTGAGGATGGCGCAGGACTGTGAAAACACTGGTGCTCAACGGCACTGAATGCCATCGGGGTTGAAGCAACATTTCACCATTTCAAAATATCTCACAAGTCCTTAATAGTCTAGTCCCTTTAAAAATATTTTTATTAGATGTGTCCGTCAACAAAATAATAAGGCATGATTTTCTCCAAAAGTTCATTTAATTGTTTACTCCTTTCAAAAGATTCCAATTAAAAAAATGAGATAACACTAAAAGCCAGGATTATAAAATTATCAGACATCTAAGACTGTACTATTGTTTTGCTGTGTAAGAATCAATGACTTTCAACGCCAAGGCATAAAACAGAGAAGACCAAATCTTTATAATTCTACTTCAACAGAAGCTCTGTATGATGTAACAAGATATCACACAAAGTCTTTAGATTCAGTTGGATTGGGTGGAAATTCTGACTCCAATTTGTGACATTAGAAAGGTTTATTGATTTCTCTGTACCTCAGTCTGCTCATATGTAAAATAAAGATGGAAAAACCCTACATTTGCACATTGCTGTGAGAATCAAAGAAGGTAAATGCAAAGTATCTGGCACACAGTAGGTCTCCAATGTTGGCAGCACATAGTTTTTCGATTTACTCCTGGTACCAGTGTTTTGTACGTGTATTGTAAAGGAGTTCTGGTGGTGTTGTGCCTGAGGCATTTGACTGCTAACCAGTAGGCTGGCAGTTCAAACCCACCAGGCACTCCGCAGATGGAAGATGAGGTGATCTACTTGCATAAAGATTTATCATTTCAGAAAACCATTTGGGGTTGCTATGAGTCAGAATTGACTCAATGGCAGTGATTTTGGTTTTGGTTTGAGTGTGTCATAGGTCCTCAGTAAAATATACATTTTGATGTGATTCTTACTAAGGGTAGGGCTGCAAAGCTGATTAATGTAATTGCTGTCAGTAAGTTATACATCCATAAGAAGTTGAATTGGCAAAAGTTGTGTGATAGCTATATTTACAACAACAAGAGCAGCTGCTGAGGCTGCTTCTAGACAATCCAACACCTCATGGGATTTAGTTTCTTGGTTTCGAAGTTCAGGGTCATGGTTTCATGGAATAGCCTCGTTAACTGGCCTAATAATGTATTTAGTGTTTCTGTTCTACCTTGCAGTTCATTGTGTAGTGCCAGAGGTCTTAAAAGCTTGTAAATGGCCATCCAACACACAACTAGTCTCTATTTGCCTGGAGCAGCAAAGGAAGAATGAGAGTCAGAAACAGGAGCAGGAAATGAATGTATGGCTAATCGCCTCCATGAATGACTGCGTCCTTTTTCCATGAGACCAGAAAAACTGGATGGTGTCTAGACAGAATTACTGAACATTTTGATCAAAGATTCTAAAGAAGAATCCTGATCAAAAGGAGGAAAATTCAAAAGAGAATTTCAAATTCTAATAGAATGCAGACTTTCTGGAGCCACTGAGGCCGGATGAACCCCTAAAACTACTGCCCTGGGATAAGCTTTGAACTTTAAACCAAAAATATTCCCTGAAATATTCAATGGTTTTCTTAACTAGTCAAGAATGTCTGCATTTACCATTTTATCTTTTAAGATCTATCTACGTGGAATCAAATTGATAACAGCATTAAAAGACAAGACAGGACATTTAGAGGCAATGAGATCATGTTAATGGGACAAGAAGGTGAGAAGGGTAGCACAACTCCAAGAATGTAATTACTGTCATTGAACTGTACATGGGGAAACTGCTGCATTGGTGTATGTTCTGCTGTGTATGTTCTCAACAACAATAAGAAAATACATATATAAATATTGATATATATTTATATATATATTATATATTAAAAGACAGAGTATTTAATACATATGCAAGTAAACATGTATAAATGCTCACACACACACTTTGAGTTGTTCTTAATATGAATGGTATGACGATTGCATACCCTGATTTTTTCACCTACTATCTCTAGGGAGATTGTGTCTGGTCTACTGCATTGCAGTATAAATTCCATGAAAGGAAGACACCAAGTGGTGTCTTGTTCACCACTGGTCCCACAGCATAGTACCATACCTGATCCATAGTATCTCTTCAATATTCAACAAAGGAAATGAAGGTAAGACCAAATGAATGAATGAAGAACAAGATCAGATGGAATAACATCTGAAGTTTCAGGAAACAGTATAAACTTTAGTTTGGGAGCTGTGGGATATGAAGAACAAGAGTTGGACATAATTCAGTAGGATACAAGGAAACAGTTACAGCTTAGGAGGATGATCTAAAAGCTAATATATTATGTGGAATAGTGAGAGACGCTATTTGCTTGGCAGCTAGATCCAAGAGTAATTCAAACTTTTCCACTAGCTAAAACTTGGCTACTCTTTTTACAAAAGGAGTTTTGTCAATGGATAGAAAAGTTAAAGAATTTCCCCTGCAAAAAGGGACATGGACAGAAGAACAGAAGTTAATAATCAGCTGTGCAATTTGATTTTGCTTCTACTTTTAAGATTAAATTATACACACACACACACACACACATATATACTAAAGTGTCAGCATAATCAATCCTTAATGATACAGCCCAATCAGTAATCAACAACCTGCCTTGTAAGACTGTTGTGTGATATATGTCTTATTATTATTCAGATATTACCAATATTAGTCTCCAAATTTTCAAGAGGTGGTAATTTAAAAAAATTAAATCAAGCCACCCAGTAAGTTATTTCTTAAAGCTGCAAAGAAAATCTCACAAAAAAACCTGAAAGAACATTTTAAATATATTTTAAAATAAAAATTTAAATTCGAACCTCCAACATAGTGGCTATTTGAAGTTAGAGAAAGTTACAAGAGGAAAAATATACTGAGCAAGCTGTCCAGTATAGACTGACATTTAGTAAGGAGATATGAATATTTAGTGTGTATTAATCAGTCTTAAATATATGCATATATAGTTTCATTTTTTTATAGTATTTTTATTTTTCTATATAGTTACTATACTAGAAGCTCTGGTGTGGCTCAGTGGTTAAAAATTCGGGTGCTAACCAAAAGGCTGGTGGTTTGAACCCATCAGCCATTCTGTGGGAGAAAGATGGGACTGTCTGCTTCCATAAAGATTTACAGCATTGGAAACCCTATGCGGCAGTTCTACTCTGTCCTATTTATTGGGTTGTTTTGAGTTAGAATCAACTCGAGGGCAGTGGGTTTTTATACTGTACTACTTCCACAGAGCACAACAGAATTGACTCTATTTCCACCCAGCAAATCTATTTCTAATTTTGTTTTAGCATCTGCCAAAATCATGAAGTACACATTTATTCCCTGTGAGGAGTCAAGAATGGTGAAAGCCACACTTCCCCATGCACTAGTAAAGTGCAATCAGCTACATTAACAACCCCCCTCCTTCAGGAGATGGCATTGACTTTCCAAATTTGATAAACTCATTACTTAAGTTGTACCATTAAAACAAATTGAAGATTTACTACTTACCGTTAATTGTCTTGGGCTTTCTAGCTATATAGTCTTTCCATTTTCTTGAACTGAGTTGGTTGGGAGGTGGAATAAGTATGTTACTAACAGTACAAGGCAATACAAAAAGAGCACCAACCTGGAAAAAACAGAACATGTTTTAGGTGAGTGCACACTGAGATTTACTCTGGAATGGTATCATGTGAGGCTTCCCCACTCCTATCTCACCTATTTAACAGGCATTTGGTAATGTCCTTTTCTAACCATGCCACTGTAAAGACTAAAAAACAAAAACAGTACCCATCCAAAAACCAAAGCAAAACAACACTGAGACAAACAAAATACAGAAAGGCATTCTAAGCTACAGGCTTTTCTCTGTTTCACTGAGGTCCACATCTCTGAAAACCTTGTTATTCACAGTATCTCCTTCAAGCTCAGGTTGCTGGTATAATTTGTTTAGCTACAAACTAGAGACTGGGAATTCTTTCACCAAAACGTGTTGTCATAATCAGCAATCCTCTTAAAACTTTTATCCAGATGAATTACTGTTTTGACTTCAAAATAAGAATAAATCTGAAGGTAACTTAGAAACTTTTGGTCCAAGAAACAGATATAATACTAATAGGTATAAACTATAGAAGACAATGAATTATGTGCTGGAAAGTACACAGATGACGACTGATTTACAAGCCAACTCAACATTCATCTTTGGATCCCCAGGGCTGGGCATACAGATGCATATTAAATAAGTTTTAAACAATCATAATACATTCAGGAAAATTCTCAGGGTAATTCAACATTGCATAAAACCAAACTGTAATTCTGAAATTCGTCTTTGAAAGGAAGCTCCATCAGTCAGCATATTCTAATACATAAACAGCACTACTTCTTTTCCAACTTTGCGGAAGCTGGGCCTGGGTGGTGGCTCTGGCCACCACCTGTCTGTCCTGTACCATGAGGCTCCTCAGCTGGTCACCGGGGCTGCCTGGGCCTCCTGCCCATGGCCTGGAGGAACCTCATGGGTTATCTAAACCCAAATGGTAGTGACTGCACACTGATCCTGCTTTACACCCGATGGTGCTGATTTTCTGCCAGTTTGGCCCCTCATTTTAATTCTTTGCCCCGGGCACTTCCAGCCCTTCACTTTCTGGCACTGGATGCATCTCAGCACAGCAGCCTTCCCACCAGGTGTGGCACCGTAGCTGTTCCTAACCTTTAGTTATCTCAAGGAGCTAAGCCAATGGCTAGATTTAATCACACAGACCAAACATTGGAAACTCTGAAAATCTTCATTTTTAATCAGACAGGTATAGAAGCCAAGAAAAATGTGGTGGCAACTCAAGCTGACCAAACAGGCCCTCTTCCCAGGACTTTGGTAAAAGTGTGGACTGGTTGCTCGTATTTTCCTTATTCTTTTTAACTAGTTTTATTACGTATGCTACCATTCAGTGCCTAATTCCAGGACAAGAATAGGCACATCCAGAGTAGTGATGGACTGAAAGTAGAAGTTGGAAAGTGGAATTTCAATCCTTCATTTCAAAAACTAATGCTGCAATTTCATACACTTTCTTCAGTCAGGTGTTGGCTTGCAACATCCTTCAGATTAAAAGAATCGTGCATTTGTTGAACTACTGACTGTGTAAAAAACTTATATAAATGGACATTTTAACTAGTATTGTAATAAGTACATGCGAAAATACTCAATGGAATTCACTGTTCTTATTTTTACTACTTGAACATAATGCAGTATTTTGAGAGAGTAACCCAGTTTAAAATGTGAAGACATATGCTGGTAGAATACGGAGTAGAATATGCTTACTAGGTAGAAGACAGAAATGGGACTTTCAGACTATAGTTTCAGAAAACTCTTGATGCCCCATATGTCCAAGGGTGGTTTTCTGTTCTTTTGTGATTTCTTTTCCAAGTCTGTAAGCAGGGAAGTGTTGTGTTGGGAAGAATAACTAGCATCGACAAGGGTGACCTCACAAGTAGCAACTATTACTTGCTGTCTTTACTGATGGAAAATAAAAGATTAAATATCAAAAAAACAAACAACTTTGGGGAAGTTTAGGCAGAACATTGCTAAAGATTTTAAATCTAATGCAAAGTCACTTTCAATTTTACCAAACAGTAAATTAGTTAAGATGAGATATGTGATGCTCATTTTTTATATTTAATGTGCTAGTGTAACAGCGGGAGCTCTGGTAGCATAGTGGCTAAGACACTTGCCTGCTAACCAGATGGCTGGCGGTTCAAACCCACCAGCCACTCCTCGGAAGGAAGGTTGGGCAATCCTACTTCCGTAGTGATACTGCCTCGGAAACCCAAGGAGGGGTCGCTATGAGTCGGGGCCGACTCGACGGCACATAACAACAACAACAACAACAACAACAGTGTAACAGCAGTTTGTTATCTTTATTTATGTATTCCTAATGAACAAGTATAAAAATAAAATATTTTAGGAGCAAAATAAGGGAGGTAAAATGAAATACGCTTATCTTTTTCTTTATTATTATAGCCATAGTATATTTTTAAGTCAAGTATATCTCACACAATCAAACATTAGATATTAAAAAATGAAAACACAGAGCAACAGAAAATAATCAAGTATAAAAGATATATATCTAATTTTCTAAACTAAATTCTCATTTTTTTTTCTTGTATAAATAAGACTTCACAGCTCAAAATTCATAAGACTGTACAGTCCAAAAGGTAACAAGGCTATAATGGGGATTCGACAGATTAAAGCCTGTTCTAACTTTCTTAACATTTTGAGGATGCTACATGCAGTTCAATGCATAGCTTACAACTTGATATAAATGCACTGTGACCCACCAGCTGAAGTAGTAGCTACAATTTTCAGACAGCCTATTTTTAATTTAACATTTGCTACAAATAGGAAAATAAACAGAAGTCCTATAAACTGTAATTCCCTACAAAATAAACTAATAAGTCAACTGATGACTGCATTCGTAACAAACTTGGATTCAGATCACTTGTTTCCACTTATGTACTTCCTTCCTAATTATGAAGATGGCCTCTCAGAGCCTGGAAACAAGCCTGTGGGCTTTCCCTCTATCTCCAGAATTTAATGGCCAAATCACACTGCAAACCTGAGTTTTGATTCAATCTTTTCAGCAGCTCCTCCCTAAATAGCAGTTAGCTACAGAGACTGTGTTTCTCGCTTTGTCAATCCTCCTACTGAAAATGTATTTCCTGTCCATAAGATTCAAAGACATCATGATATTGTCTTTCCCAATCTAATAAAATGAACTTTACTCTAAGAGGCTTTTCTTTATATCTGTGATTAATCACAACCCATTTATACATTCCTCACTGCAGGACTGGGCAGTGTTTCACTCTGCTGTTCACAGGTTCGCTATGAGTCAGAACTGACTTGATGGCACCTAACAATAACTTCAAACACTGGAAGGATTAAGGATTTATCTCACATCTCTGTTAAACAAATCAGAAGTATGTGACTAATGTTGACTTGAAAAGAATTCTCTATAAATTTAATTCATAAAACTTTAATCCTATCTTCAAAATATGTACAGAACATAGAGTGCTTTACAGATTTTAAGACCGTATTTCACACGAGTGTCTATCATTTGAGCCACACAAACGTCAAAGACAGTAATAAATATCAGTTAACAACCGAGCTTCCTTCTGTTTGGGGTGATGGGAAATGTGGAATGGATGAAGGCAATAGTTGTTCAACATGCTCAACACAACTGATGTCACTAAATTGTATATGGTGAGAATGGTGAAACAGCAAATATTCTCATACATATTTATCACAACCATCACTTATACCACACTTCACAGTTTATAAAATACATTCTAATTTGGTTTTCATTCAAAGTGTTTGAAATAGGTAAAGGAAGGACTTCTATGTCCAGTTTACATTTTTTAAAAAGCCGGAAACCAGTGAGTGACGGAGCTGAGGCTTTCCCAAAGTTTTCTAAAGGACGTTCTACTTGGGACTTCCTGCTACACCATATTCCTTCCCTCTCTTCCTTATCTCACTACACAGGTAAAATGACTAAGACATGAATGACTCTCACTTCCTACAATGAAGAGGTCCCTGAAAGATGTTGTTATTGGGTATCATCATGGAATTCCAACACACAGCCACCCTATAGGACAGAGCAGAACTGCTCCACAGGGTTTCCAAGGTGGTAATCACACAGGAGCAGATGGCAACGTTTCTCTCCCACTGATGGGCTCGAACTGCCAACTTTTTGATTAGCCGCTGAGTGCTTAACCACTGCGTCACCAGGGCTCAGAAAGCTATTTGGTTTAAAATAAGAACTTAGATTTTTTTTTTATTCTTAGCACCCCTTTTTTTCACTATACCATTTGGTTGAGACTTCTGTGCACATAGTTTTGTAGAGATGTATGATTTTATTAATCTATATAATTAATCCATATTTACCTTATCAATCTATACTTAAGATCTATATGAATGTAGATGATTAAGCTCTACATTAAAGATCTTAATCATCTATATTATAATCTGTATTCAGGTTATCTCTCCATTCTTACTCCATCTCAGACTGCTGGTTTTCTGTACAAGCCTCATTATACCTTCAGTTATTTATTTTCTATTTCTCCACCACAATGTCAGTTCCATGAGAGTACAGGTCTCTTTAATACAGCTCATCACTGGATCCCTACATATTGTACCTGGCACAGAGTAGTATGTATACTGGATAAAAAATGAGAGATGAATTTTAAAATTCAATATTTGGCATATAAGATATTCTTAGAGGATGAAAATACAGGTTAATACTACAGGCTGTTCCCTCAAAGGCCATTTCTGCAACTAAACACCTTGGTACACTACCTAAAAGACCATTAATTTCATGGAAAAATGAGGTCAAAAGCTGAAATTATACCACAGAGAGTCAAGCATCTTAGGGCCAAAATTATAATACTTTTATTATGACAATTTTCTAATGGAATTATAACCAAGACTTGATCACAGAGCTCTGGGAAAACTGTTCTAATTATAATAATAATTTTCACCCTGCAGGACGGTGTGATAATACTCTACGGTTGCTAAAACAATAAGAAAATGTCATGTAAACATTGCCAATAAGTATTTTGTGCAATAAAAATTGTTCTCATACATAGAACAGGCTGATTGATCAGATATGTCTAGGCAAAAGGAAATATACCCATGACCAAAAAAAAAAAAAAATTGTTTTCATAGAAGTAGTTCAATAACCAACTGAAAGAAAAATGAGCTTTCACTTTGTCCCATTGACAACAGTACTCGAGTTAGCTGGAACCATGATATACACGCACAAGCATATGAATACTTTCTCATACAAATGAAATCAGGTGCTGAACAAGTAGGTTAACAATAATCCGTTGTTGTTGGTACGTGCCGTTGAGTCGGACGTGACTCATAGTGACCCCTCCTTGGGTTTCTGACGTGTTATCACTACGGAAGTAGATTGCCCAACATTAAATAATCTAATGTGTTCTAAAACTGTAAAACTTCAAAGCAATTCCCAGTGATGAGGGTTAGTTTTGAAAGCCTCTTCTCAAAACAAAACATCATTTCACATCTGCAGAGCATTTCAGAATTATTATGGAAAGTTCAAAATATCTTAATATGAATTAGGACCAAAATTATATGTTATATTGAATAATCCAATTTATCATATAAACCAGATTAATAAGCTGCATTTCCTTTTCCCACATACACTATGAACAAACAAACAAACAAAAACAAACCTTCCATACCTTGCCACACAGAGACGAAATCTGTTCCAACAGCAGTGTGGAATTCTGCTTGGTATTGTTTTTTGTCAATCCTCTGTACTAGAGTTAAAGAAATAGTCAAATGGTAACCTATGAAACAATTCCAGTCCACAAAATGTCTTTTCTCCTCTTCATTGTTGTTTAATACACAAGTTGATTAATTCATGTATTAAAAAATTTTAACTGCAGGAATTCAGAACGACTTCTGTCCTTAAGGATAATTATTTTTCTAACTATTGGTTTAATTCAATATGGAAAGCAAGAAAAGGTAGTACTGTGAATAGTATGACTATAAACTATCAGAACAAGACTCATAAAAGCTGTAGTTTCTAAATGAAAATTCAAGAACTGCATAGTGTTCCAACAATGTTTAGTGTTTTATACAAAATATTTTTATACAGTGTTTTATACAAAATGTTGTTATTAATATATTTCTAAAAGAAAAGATGGACTTCAGAAAGTTCTTAGATATATTTTCCTTAAAAAAACATTTAAAATATAGTTAATATTCACAGGCATATGTTACACTGAAAAAACTCACTGCCATCAAGTTGAACCTGACTCATAGTGATCCCTCCTTGGGTTTCTGAGGCAGTATCGCTACGGAAGTAGATTGCCCAACCTTCTTTCCGAGGAGTGGCTGCTGGGTTTGAAACACAAGCCTTCTAGTAGCAGTCAAATGCCTTAGGCACTATGCTACCAGAGCCCCTGACATATGTTACAGCACTGATATTTACTTAAGTATATAAAAAAGCACATCAGCAAGTTGGAGTTTATCCATCCATTATGGCAATGGCAGGAGGAACACCTGAACACTTCAGGGGTAGGTGAGTTACGATTTTTCTCCAAATTCCCGGCATTCCTCTGTCCTTTCCACCCCGTAAGTAATGAGTAATAATATCAATAAGTCCTTTGGCTATTCTAGAAGCATAAATACAGTACTTGAGGAAGGCTTTTTTTTTTTTTTTTTGCAAGTTTTAGAAGTGCTTTTAAACCCAGGCAATAATTAAAAGAACATTGAGTATTATTCAAAAATAGCATGGCCAAACATCCAAATATGGGGTGATACTAGAAAAATGGTGTAAAGAATGCTTTTCAAACAGTTTTGCTATGGACCTTTATTGTAAGTGAGCTATTACCTGGAAGCCCACTATGCAAAACAGGGAGAAGAAGCGGTGCTCTGGTTAAGTATAAGAGGGGCCTGAAGCCACTCAACTTGTCTTCCAACTCTGCTGCCCCAGAGAGCTTTCTCTGAGCTGTAGGTTCTCCTTGGAAGACAATTTGAAAATTACTTAGGAAGGTTGGGCAATCCTACTTCCGTAGTGATACTGCCTCGGAAACCCAAGGAGGGGTCGCTATGAGTCGGGGCCGACTCGATGGCACATAACAACAACAACAACAACAAAGTAAGGATTTAATATGACATAAACATGCCAAATGTTATCTAGCTTCTGACCTATAAGTGGCTAACAAATGAAATGGAGAAAAAGATTAATTACTTATGTCTGAAATAACTTCTAGAGTTATACTGCCAGGTGGTGTGCTAGCTACAGCGTTCCAAATAGAGTCTAATACTCATGGCATTATAAGGGATAAAAATAGCAAGTACCTACTGTACATTTCAATTTAAACTCAACCTATCTAAACCTGCTCTCTTTCCCCATGAAACCTGCTTTCCTTCTCATGGTAGCTCAGTGGCAGGGAATTACCTACATTCCTCTGGCTTCCTCACTTTCTCTACATATGATCCAAGGGGATACAAGATCATGATGTCCTCTTGATTCATATGAATACATCTTGTACCTTTCTTTGACTTGCCATTCCAAATGCTACTTTTAATTCAAGCTCTACCAAGTTTTCCAGAATGCTACTAGCATGATCTAAACTCTACTTCTGACTACTTTACTCCCTAGCTTAAAATCTTCTTTGGTCCCTCACCATCTTTAGGATAGAGTTTAACTCCCAAGCATGATATATGAGGTCTTTTAGGATTCTTAACAGGCTCTCCAATCTCATCTCTTAGGAACCCATCCCCCAAATACGAAACAAAACTCAATTCTTTATTGACGCTAGACTAGGAACAGATACCATCTGCATGAGATTTCTATGACTTTTTAAATGCTATTCCTTCTACAAAAAGGAATTAGTGAAAACAAAATAAGCACTTCGGTTTGGCCTGACATCATAATGCAAAGTCATTCATTCCACAATATCTATCGAATGCCTACTATGCCCTATGATGTATTTCAGTTATAGATTTCTTTATCAGAAACATATCAAAAAAATACAAAAGACATGGAGAAACATTCCTGGATTTCAAGAAACAGAAAATTATTATTTTTTTAATTAAGCCCTAACTAAAACAACAACAAAGGTAACAGAAAACACATCAAATATTAAATATGTATATGGGGATCTTTGGATAGAGTGTAGGAAGGACAGAGTTGTACTTAATATTACAGTAAGTAAAAGAGTAGATCTGACCTGTGCTCACACAAAGAAAAAACTATAACTGGATTAAATAACTGCGTCTCAATCACTTCTGTATTCCTCTACATCCCTACCCATAGAAGACAGTAAACAGTGAATGAAAATAAGGATGCTTGTCTGGGGAAAAGATCTGTGGTGGTATAGGTCTAGGACTGACATGTGCAAAAAGCAAGACCTTCCCTTTCCAGCAACTCCAACAGTAAAGATTCTGGCAGCCCACCTGTACATCAACATGAAAGCAATGAATGCAACGAAATAAAAATAAATGTACACCTAACAAGCATACTTACCTGACGATTCCAGAACGTTCTACAGAACATGGAAAACACAATCTATAATGAACATGAAAATGAAAGGATACAACTCAAATTCAAGGTCAGACATGTAACAGGAGGGGAGATCTGATAATTGTATCAGCTGCACAAATTCTAAAGCAGGGCCATAATAATGGAAAACCTAGAAGAGAAGCTAAAATTAATACATGATACATTAAATGCTACAAGTAAAATGAATAAATTAGTGATTAAGATTTTAAAACCTTAAAATTAATCTTTAAAAAAAAATCAGTTTTTTGCACACTCTAGAAACCAAACACTTGATTCTCTGTTGACAGACAAGGGTTTTTTCTATTTCAGTTCTACCTTTCAGAGGATAGAGCCAGACATGGAAAGTCTTCATAACTAGAAAGAGTTTTAATAATGGAGAAAACGAGTATTAAAATAGGCAAGCGACAAAGGAAAAGCTCATCTCCAACAGGACAGAGAACTCAAGAGGCTACAGTGCTGAAGAAACAAACAAGGAGGGCTGCAGTAAGGAGAAGAGAAAGGAAGACATTGCAGAATGAGCTGAGGCTGAGTGTCAGGCAGTTAGCTGGGCATATACCCACCACTGTGTCAGATGCTAATCTCTTACATAATTTTAATAATAACTTCTAAGAAGAGTATATTATTATTATTATTACCCTATTCCAGAAATAAGTTAATCAATATTCCCAAGATCCTAATACCTCATAGGTGACAAACTCAAGTTTCAAACTCAGGTTTGCCTAACATAAAAGCCTATTCTCTTTCCACTGTATCACAAGACCTCCAAACTGAGTCTTGGAAAGGTTGCACAGTAAAGTTCCAACTACAGGCAGTTTCAGGCTTATTGATCTATAATCAGGATAATTCCATTTAGAAAAACAGCATGACTAACCTAAAACAATGGTAATATTTTAACTCAGACAATACAGTATAACTTAAGTACATAATTTGAAGACATAAAAATTATGACATATAGACGACGAGTAGCATTGGGAAAGTCAACTGCGAGGGAACTGTTTCAAGTGCTGAGGAGCAAGGATATCTCATTGAGGACTAAGGTGCGCCTGACACAAGCCATGATATTTCCAATCGCCTGGTATGCATGTGAGAGCTGGACAATGAATAAGGAAGACCGAAGAAGAGTTGATGCTTTTGAGTTGTGGTGCTGGAGGAGAATGCTGAAAGTACCATGGACTGCTAAAAGAACTAACAGATCTGTCCTGGAGGAAGTGCAGCCAGAATGCTCCTTGGAAGCAAGAACGGCCAGACTTCGTCTCACCTATTTTGGTCATGTTGTAAGAAGGGACCATTCCCTGGAGAAGGATGTCATGCTTGGTAGGGTGGAGGGTCGACGAAAGAGGGGGAGGCCTTCAACGAGATGGATTGATACGGTGGCTGAGATGATGGGATCAAGCATAGCAGGGATTGTGGGGCTGGCGCGGGATCGGGCAGTGTTTCGTTCTGCTGTGCATGGGGTCGCTATGAGTCGGAAATGACTCGACGGCACTTAACAACAACAACAACAATATAATAAAAAATTAAAGCACATATATTAGTAAGTCTAGGAGCTCTGGTGGCATAGTGCCTAAGGCATATGACTGCTAACCAGAAGGCTGGCGGTTCAAACCCACCAGCCACTCCTCGGAAGGAAGCCTGGGCAACTACTTCCATGGTAATACCGCCTCAGAAACCCAGAGAGGGGTCGCTATGAGTTGGATCTGACTCGACGGCAGTGAGCTTTTAGATATTAGTAAGGTTAATTCAGAATTCAGGCATATTTTTTAGAGATAAAATATACACAAATACATGATTGCAAAAATGATTAAACATACAATTACCTTTGGCAAAATATTCTTATTCTTTGATGGTATTATATTTTTGGCAAGAAAGCAAGTATTTACATTAGATGTACTAAAAATCTTAGGTGTGACTCCCTTTAATGAAAATTCAGGAAAACTAATTTCAGATCCAAACTGAAAAGAAACCAAAAGAACACAGTTACAGACATCATGAGTAAAGTTACAAAGATGACTACACCTTATTATAATTTAAAAGTTGACAGGAAAACCACACGTGAATTCATTTTTGATTCCTCAGCTCAAAGTGTTGTTCTCCCATTTATGTACACATCCTTCCTCTATCAACTTAGACTTTGATCTTTCATGAAAAGCCCTCCTTGGTCCTTTAGCAGCCCACGAACATGTGTTAAGCCCATTCTATGCAACCACAGCATAAACTCAACAACCTCCTTTATAGCATATACTTACTCAATAACCAGCTTCCCACCAGTCTGTAAATTCAGTGAAGATAGACCCTGTCTGTCTTATTCACTACTAGATCCTTAGTACAGTGCCTCACACACAATTTACCTTCAATATATGTAGCTGATGAAAAGATTAATTTCAGCTGAAGTAGTTATAGGAGGGATAGTAATAATAATAATAGTAGTAGTATCGAGATAATGGTTAGCACTTATTGAGTGGTTACTTCGTGCTTTAAATAATTTCATCTTTATAAAAATCTATGAGGTAAGAACTATTATTATCCTTATTTTAAGATGAGGAAAATAGTGGCATCAAAACCTTAACTATTATCCAAGGTATCACACAAACAGCAAGAAATGAGCTGGGATCTGAATGCAGCAATGTGGCTCTAGAAGCCGTCCTTGATCATGACAATGCCTCTTGGCTAAAAGCTATTCTCTACTAAAGAAAAAGAAAAATATGATTTCAAGTTTTGAATGCATCCTATGGCAGTATGGACATTTCATGTCACAGTCACAAAAGAATCACATAAAAAGAGCTCACCATTATCTGTCTATGAACATGCAGTTTCAAAAAAACACACACAAAAGAGATTTTTATAACTAATCATATCTTCCACCACTTCACTTGGTTATTTGGTTTTATGTACGCTATAACCACTTGCAGAGAAGGTTCAGCTGCAGGTTTAAACTTCTAAGACCGAGATGAGCCAACACGCAAAAAACAAAACGGACCTAGCCACATGAACTCCAGTTGTCTTATGAGTTTTGTCAACAAAGTTGAAAGGCTTGCTTTGCAAACTGTGAAAATGAAGAAACCCGTTTACCTTTCTTTCCCATATCTGAACTTTTCCCCTCCATAACTCCTTGGAGTCAATTGCATTTCTGAGATCTTCTAATGACACAACATTAGCAGAAAGGTATTCTGTAATTTTCTGACAATTTCTACAAAATAAAAGATTATGATAATTAAAATATAGGGTTTTATATTTTACTTAGACTTAATGGTTATAAACCAAACCAAACTCACTGCCATCGAGTTGATTCCAACTCACAGAGACCCTATACGACACTACCTCATGGGGTTTCCAAGGCTTTAAATCTTTATGGAAGTAGACTGCCTCATCTTTCTCCCACAGAGCAGCTGGTGGGTTCAAACCTCTTACCTTTTGGTTAGCAGCTAAATGCCTTAAGCACTGCATCACTAGAGCTCCTTAATGGTTAAACTTAACCACAAATCAGAGGCAAAATTGTAAACCTTGCATCAATGTTTGTTTGCTTTTTCTAATATAATATAATCACTGTAACATAATAGAATAAAACATGCATTGCCACTCTCTGAGTTGCTGTCACATGTTCATTTCATACCAACATCCCTATGAACCAAAAATAATTATTCTGAGGATTACAGATGAAGAAATGGACTTGCCTCTTGGTTTAATGCTGCCAAACATATAGACAGGTATACCTACACTAAGTGTAGTGTAGCATAGCAGCATTTCTCACTGAATATGACTGTTAGCCTTCCTGTTTCCTGCTGCACTTAGCAGCCAAGGATCATGTCTCTTTACTTTCTTAATTGCATAAGCATTTATTGCTGCTTGGAGTAAAGTCAGTGCTCAGTAAATGCTTACTGAATGAAAACTCATGCAGTTAAAAAACCTCATTTGAATACTTATTTAAGGATCAAAATTGTAATAGAACATTTGATCCTTACTATAGTGTCATAAAACACAGTGTATATTCATTTCTACACTGACACATAAAAACAAAACCAGAGTGGCATTACAAATCCAGTGTTTCCATGTGCCCATAGCATTTCTGTGCTGTTCAATGGACAACCCATGCCTATTTAAAATCACAGCACATTTGGAGAGCTGATGTTCAATAAATATAACAAAATAGCATCCATGGCATTCAGTAAAAACTCAAATGTCTCAAGAAAGCAAAGCATGATATGAGAAAAATTCAGATGCTTGCAAAGAGATAAGTCTCTTAAATTACATATGAGATCCCACTTTTATTTTCTTACATCAAAATCATTTTCACATGCTGACAGTATATTTAAAATACGTTAGCGTGTTAACTGTGAAAACAGACTATACTGACAACGATCAAATAGGAACAAAGAAACACACGTTTCACCACAATTTCCTGCGACTGTAATTTTTGCTGCATGCCATTCTCTCAGATGCTTCAATGCTCCTACGGCAGGTAAACAGTCCTTCAGCTTGGGAGGGTCTTTGTCGGAGGGCAGTAGTAGCACGTCTATCATTGCTCTACCTGAAAGGAGCCAAAGATATTTTGTAATTTTTTAAAGGATGTTAGATCCAAAATGTCTCAAAACAGCACCCTCAATAACTGAACTTGTTTCTTTATAAGACGGAGGATGATTTTAACTTTAATTTCTGAAATTCTACAAAATAATACACATCTTCAGGAGTTCAAAATCTTTCAAAGTACATCTTATAACCTAAAGCCATGTTATCTTGAAACAGTTAGCACACACCAGAAAACAGCAAGCTGTATCATCACCACTTGCCGATTCTGCAGCATGCTTAATTACAAACACTGCTCTTGAGATCAGCAATGCTATTGTCATACTGAGCAGAGAGAGAAAAAATACAACCTGTGCAATTGCATTATGTTTTTCTCTACTTAATTTTGTTATACAAATTAGAATGAATTAGGATAAAATTATAACATACAAATAAATTACTTCTCTTTTAAAAAGATGAAACATTCAGCAAACCCAATTATACCTACAATATCAATGGATTCTGAGAAAGAAGAATAACTTCATAAAACTTTAAATTATATAAAACTATAAATTTAATAAAACCAAACAAGCCAAACTCACTGTCACTGAGTCATTTCCAACTCATAATGAACCCATTTGGTTTCCAAGGCTATAAATGTTTAAGTAAGCAGACTGCCTCATCTTTCTTCCACAGAGCAGCTGGTGAGTTCAAACTATTGACCTTCTGGTTAACAGCCAAATGCCTTAACCACTACACCACCAGAGCTCCTTATAAATTTACTAAAAGACCAGAAAAATCAAAATAAAACAGAAACCAAGTAAAAATTTGATAATCAAAGAATTTCTATTGGGCAGTATGGCAACTGAATATTATGTCAATGTATTCTTTGACCTTGACACATTGCATTAAGAAGGTGATGTAGAAGTTGAGCGTTATTTTTCACATGGGCCCATTCACAGTAAGGGATGATCCCTGAATATACGGGTTAGATGCCTGTGACCTCTAGGCCCCTTCGTGGTCCTTGCTTATGCTTTCCTCATCCCTGTACACTCAGCTCTTAGTTTCCTGTGTAACATGTAATAGACCCAATAAACATCTGCTTAATAAATGGTCTTTAATAATAAAAATATTCAGAAAAGAAAGCTCTTCAAAAGTTATTGTGGACAGCAAACTGTATCAAGTTTTAGATGCCAGCTACTTGATTAACACACAAAAAAGTTAGTTTGAGACAAAAAAAAAAAAAAAAAAACAGTTTTAAGAATAATATGATGCACGTGGATGAACTTGGAGGACATTATGCTGAGCGAAATAAGTCAGTCACAAAAGGACAAATATTGTATTAGTCC